ACACACATTTCACTCACATATATATGACACACACTCCATTCACATATACACATGACACACATTTCACTCACATATACATATAGCACACATTTCACTCACATATACATGACACACATTCCTTTCACATATACATATGCCACACATTTCACTAACATACACATGACACACATTTCACTCACATATACACATGACACACATTTCACTCACATACACATGCCACATACTAAACTCACATATACACATGACACACATTTCATTCACATAAATTTCACTCACATATACACATAACACATATTTCAGTCACATATACACATGACACATACTTCACCCACATATTCACATGACACAATCATACACACATACACATGGCACGTATTTCAATCACACATACACATGACACACAATTCACTCACATATACATATGGCACACATTTCACTAACATACACATGACACACATTTCACTCACATACACACATTTCACTCCCACAATCGACATCCGATCGCTTCATATAATAGTAGTATTTCATTACAGTCTCTTCTATTGTCAACGATTTAATAATTTTTCAGTTTATAATTGCTATTCAATAAAAGGATTATAATGTTTGAGTAACATTTTTCCGACTTTTATATTTTTGTGGAGTTTTTTGTGTGTGTATGAATCCTTCACTTTTGTAATCAGATAGCGGTCAGATAAAATCTACGAGAGACCTGTATGTGTTTCGCCCACCTCGCACAATGGTGGCGCAATGGATTTCGATACTGTGTATTGAACGGAAACAGCTGTAAGAGGATGATGATAGATTTACTGTCACGCATTTTATATCACAGGTTACAATTAAAAAGGCATTTATTTTGCATCATTTGTTGAATGCAAAAGTCACATCAAGCCGGGACTGCTTTGAATTGAATGTCGACATTCTCAAAGTACGGTTAGTCTCCAATACTGAGTTGACCGTTGTATTCTTGCGCGGTTGTGCATAAAAGAAGTCCTGAACACAAGGTATGCGTTAATGGCACACAGCAGTTTCCACAAAATAATTGCAGCTCTGTGAAAGTCTCAGAGTGGATCATGATGTCCGAAATGTGCTTTCAGAAACAGACACGTATTCAGAGGTCAGAGGTCGGAGCATGGTGGCTGACATCGTATTGTGCGAGTGTAGACTGGACGCGCGGGGGTGAACATAATCTACCAAACACGTGAATTTTGGCGCATATTTGCCCCCAAACGTTATGTTTGGAAAGAAACCAAAGTCACTGTACCCACATTAATCCAGAAAGAATGTTCTCTGAACACTTTATATTCCTGACCTCTGTTAACCAAACATTAGCTCCAGCTCTTCCTAAATGTCCAGAGGGGAAAGAATTCAGTGGACGGGTTGCATAAATATAGGTTCACTTGGGTCACTATAGTGACGTGGGATAAATGCATGTTCATTATAATTATGTATCCAGTCTGAAGAAAAATAAATGCAAGTTCACTTTAGTGACGTATCCAGTCTGAAGCAGGATAAATGCAGGATAATTATATAGTGACTTATCCCACCTGTTGTGGGATAAATGCAGGTTCACTATAGTGACGAATCCCACCTGCTGTGGGATAAATGCAGGTTCACTTTAGTGGCGAATCAGTCTGAAGCAGGATAAATGCAGGTTCACTATAGTGACGAATCCCACCTGCTGTGGGATAAATGCAGGTTCACTATAGTGACGTATCAGTCTGAAGCAGGATAAATGCAGGTTCACTTTAGTGACGTATCCCACCTGCTGTGGGATAAATGTAGGTTCACTATAGTGACTAATCAGTCTGAAGCAGGATAAATGCAGGTTCACTATAGTGACGTATCCAGCCTGATGCAGGTTGACTATAGTGATGAATCCAGTCTGGTGTATGACAAATGCAGGTTCACTCTAGTGACGAATCCAGTCTGGTGTATGACAAATGTAGGTTCACTATAGTGACGAATCCAGTCTGATGTATGATAGATGTAGGTTCACTATAGTGACGTATCCCACCTGTTGTGGGATAAATGCAGGTTCACTATAGTGACGAATCCCACCTGCTGTGGGATAAATGCAGGTTCACTATAGTGACGAATCCTACCTGCTGTGGGATAAATGCAGGTTCACTATAGTGACTAATCAGTCTGAAGCAGGATGAATGCAGGTTCACTTTAGTGACGTATCCCACCTGCTGTGGGATAAATGTAGGTTCACTATAGTGACGTATCAGTCTGAAGCAGGATATAAGCAGGTTCACTTTAGTGACGTATCCCACCTGCTGTGGGATAAATGTAGGTTCACTATAGTGACTAATCAGTCTGAAGCAGGATAAATGCAGGTCCACTATAGTGACGTATCCAGCCTGATGCAGGTTGACTATAGTGATGAATCCAGTCTGGTGTATGACAAATGCAGGTTCACTCTAGTGACGAATCCAGTCTGGTGTATGACAAATGTAGGTTCACTACAGTGACGAATCCAGTCTGATGTATGATAGATGTAGGTTCACTATAGTGACGTATCCCACCTGTTGTGGGATAAATGCAGGTTCACACTAGTGACGAATCCCACCTGCTGTGGGATAAATGCAGGTTCACTATAGTGACGAATCCCACCTGCTGTGGGATGAATGCAGGTTCACTATAGTGACGAATCAGTCTGAAGCAGGATAAATGCAGGTTCACTATAGTGACGAATCAGTCTGAAGCAGGATAAATGCAGGTTCACTTTAGTGACGTATCCCACCTGTTGTGGGATAAATGCAGGTTCACTATAGTGACGAATCCCACCTGCTGTGGGATAAATGCAGGTTCACTATAGTGACGAATCAGTCTGAAGCAGGATAAATGCAGGTCCACTATAGTGACGTATCCAGCCTGATGCAGGTTGACTATAGTGATGAATCGAGTCTGGTGTATGACAAATGCAGGTTCACTCTAGTGACGAATCAAGTCTGGTGTATGACAAATGTAGGTTCAATACAGTGACGAATCCAGTCTGATGTATGATAGATGTAGGTTCACTATAGTGACGAATCCAGTCTGATATATGACAAATGAAGGTTCACTCTAGTGACGAATCCAGTCTGGTGTATGACAAATGTAGGTTCAATACAGTGACGAATCCAGTCTGCTGTATGACAAATGTAGGTTCACTCTAGAGACGAATTCAGTCTGATGTATAACAAATGTAGGTTCACTACAGTGACGAATCCAGTCTGGTGTATGGCAAATGCAGATTCACTCTAGTGACGAATCCAGTCTGATGTATGACAAATGCTTGTTCACTCTAGTGACGAATCTTGTCTGATGTATGACAAATGCATGTTCACTCTAGTGACGAATCAAGTCTGATGTATGACAAATGTAGGTTCAATACAGTGACGAATCCAGTCTGGTGTATGGCAAATGCAGATTCACTCTAGTGACGAATCCAGTCTGATGTATGACAAATGCTTGGTCACTCTAGTGACGAATCCAGTCTGGTGTATGACAAATGTAGGTTCAATACAGTGACGAATCTTGTCTGCTGTATGACAAATGTAGGTTCACTCTAGTGACGAATCCAGTCTGATGTATGACAAATGTAGGTTCACTCTAGTGACGAATTCAGTCTGATGTATGATAGATGTAGGTTCACTATAGTGACGAATCCAGTCTGATGTATGACAAATGCATGTTCACTCTAGTGACGAATCCAGTCTGGTGTATGACAAATGTAGGTTCACTACAGTGACGAATCCAGTCTGGTGTATGGCAAATGCAGATTCACTCTAGTGACGAATCTAGTCTGATGTATGACAAATGCTTGTTCACTCTAGTGACGAATCTTGTCTGATGTATGACAAATGCATGTTCACTCTAGTGACGAATCTAGTCTGATGTATGACAAATGCATGTTCACTCTAGTGACGAATTCAGTCTGATGTATGATAGATGTAGGTTCACTATCGTGAACTGAGAACGACATTCTTCGTGTGATGCATGGTGTTCACACCACAGCCTACTCTCTGGTAATGATGAAATCTGGATACGTACATTCTAAATAGTTGTTCAATCTTCTGATGATATATACATTTGTGAGAGTCCTTTAATAATATACAAATATGCGGCAACGTTTGATACCGAAGAACGTTGCCGAAGATTTGACTTTGTGAAGAGATCCTCCTCATCTTATCAAAATATATCACGAAGTTTATTCCGGTAATACTGATGGATGATAATTGTTTAACTATATGATTAGCATTCTGGTAAAAAAGAAAGCGTACAGCTTTATGGATAACAACTTCTCGTTTATTGCATATAGCAACGTTCCAACTTAAGAACGGTGTAAGAATCTACATCGAAACGTCGCTACTGCAATAAACAAGACGTTTTGTTATCCATTAAATTTTACGGGTTTTTTTAATTTCAAGAAAATCCGTTTATGATATTAAAAAAAAATCAATTTAAGGCAACACACGGAAGCAAGGTTTAACTGTGCGTTAATAATATCTTCAGTAATCCCGCTTCAAAGATCAAACATTAAAACTGAATTTGTTTTTTTATCACGTAGCATTTTGGGGTTGAAAAACATCGGTGTTATGTTATCTTTTGTCACAAATTACCAGCAGGATGGAATCCGCAAACTACCTGGGTAGCCTCCTTCAAACACAGCACCCCCAAGATACTTAAAACTTGATGATAGCTAGGTTCACTAAGTTTAATCCCCAAGGCGTGGGAAGCCAAACACAACCTGTTGCTATGAAGCATCTACTATGAGGTTACATCAGGGTGGATGGAGGTGATGTCGTGTAGAGTGCCAGGTCGTACTACCCTTCCATCAAAAACATTGTAATTTCTCCCGATTATGACACAACACACCACCTGGTCACGGGACACCCACGTCCAGGAGAATCCATGATGACTAAAACCTGTTGCTGCTGTGAGGTTCATTAGCTTCCTGGTTCTCCTGCTATGATCCGACAATTGAATGATGCAACGGCGCTATTTCCACGAAGGGGGCAGTCTGTCCACTCAAGATCCTATAACGCTGTGGCCATTACAACACAACCGACCTGTTGCTCGCAGAGGGGCCGCTAGTCCACTTGGGATTCCGTAACGGTCTGGATGTAATCTGTGTCTTAATGCTACCAGGCTCGGTACATCTCTGCCCGTCTCCACCGCTTCTTTGAGAGTAGAGGGGAATCCCTCACTAACTCCATATTGATCCGGTTTAAGAATGCACGGCCTGTATATCTCGACATCAGAATGCAATTGAGCGGTAACGACCAGAGACTAGCAATACCAAACCATTTTTCTGTGTGAGAGAACGCGCCACACTCTGACGTGCGCCGTCTCGCGAGGAAGCACGCGCCTGTCTTGAAAAACGATACACTTATACACGTGACGTAAATATGTATACTGTATGGGCCAAGACGAATGAAGCTACAGGGCCTACTACAAGACAGAATCTGGAGCTTCACCATAGCGGCGGGTATTGAATTTTGTATGAGAGAAAACTAATTATGCAAACATCTAGCACGCCAATGGCGAGTAGAGCCAGGATCGATACGGCCGCTCTGCACAGTGTACAACGAACGACTATGAAGCCTGTTCGCCTAGTGCTGCTGTAATACTCCTTGCCTCCCGCCTGACTGTACCGCCTCCGAAGCAATGGCGACCTGCTCGCTTCACTGGCAGACAGTCTCTTGCTAGCTCGGTCGGGTTGTGCTGGTTAAACATGCAGACGACAAAGATGTGAATGCCTGCGCGTGAACAAGTGTCGTCTGCTGGTCGTGGATAGCAGCCGGGGATGTTCATTAAGCTGAGGTTTTAGGACACAATGGACAGCCCAGATAATGTAACGCTGAAAGTGCCACTGTGAAGCTAGCTGGTCCACAGGAGGCAAGGCCATTGACTGTAAACCAGATCGACAGAATTTGTCGCCGTAGATCTGATCGGATATATATACTTACTGCTTCACCAATGCCGACGGAGTAAGGCGACGTGGTACCACTTTACTTTTTCTTTCTTCTTCACCCTTCACCCTGTTTGTCATTCTAACAATTCAAAATTGTTTTCCTAGAGGATACAGATCTTTTCTCTTCCAAGGGGAATACAATGGCGTCCGTGGCAGCGTGGCTCCCCTTTGCCCGGGCATCCGCCATAGGTTGGGTGCCCATTTCACAAAACCCGCTCCCCCCGCCACGGGTACAACCTGACCACAAGAGAGGGGACGAAAAGCTCAGCATCAATGTGAGCGGACGTCGCTTTGAAACTTGGAGGACTACACTCGAAAAATACCCAGACACCCTTCTGGGGTCAAACGAGAGGGAATTCTTCTTTGACGAGGAATGTAAGGAGTTTTTCTTTGACAGGGATCCCGATATATTTCGGCACATTCTAAGCTATTACCGAACAGGAAAACTTCATTACCCTAGGCACGAGTGCATCAGTGCCTATGATGATGAGCTCGCGTTCTTTGGAATTCTCCCGGACCTTATCGGCGACTGTTGTTACGAGGATTACAGGGATAGAAAGCGAGAAAATAGCGAACGTCTCATTGACGACAAGGGGTCTGAGAATGGTGATCCAATACCGGCCGGGAACCTCAGGGAACGTATGTGGAGGGCGTTTGAAAACCCTCATATAGGAACGGCGGCATTAGTGTTTTATTACGTGACAGGATTCTTCATTGCCGTGTCTGTTATTGCGAACGTCGTGGAGACGGTGCCGTGTGGCGTCGTCAAAGGGCAGAAGGAAAACCCTCCATGTGGGGACAAATTTCGTATAGCCTTCTTCTGCTTGGACACAGCATGTGTGATGATCTTCACTGCGGAGTACCTGCTTCGGTTGTATGCCGCCCCGGACAGATGTAAATTTATGCGTAGCGTAATGTCAATTATAGATGTTGTCGCCATCTTGCCGTACTACATAGGACTCGTCATCACCGACAACGACGACGTTAGTGGGGCTTTCGTCACTCTGAGAGTTTTTCGCGTATTCCGAATTTTTAAATTTTCCAGACACTCCCAGGGATTACGCATTCTTGGCTATACATTGAAAAGTTGTGCTAGCGAGCTTGGCTTCCTTTTGTTTTCGCTCACTATGGCAATCATAATTTTCGCTACTGTTATGTTTTATGCAGAAAAGAATGTGACAAACACGAAGTTCACAAGTATTCCAGCGGCTTTCTGGTACACCATCGTTACCATGACTACCTTAGGGTAAGTAGTTCTTGTTACTTGACCTGATTAATTCTTCACTAATACATGTCATTAATTATTATCCCCTTCAACAGCAAAACCCTTTACGGAACAGCTTACAGCCGCCATTGACGAGTCCACAGATATTCGAGTCAGGCCGGGGCCATTTGGCGGCAACCCGTGTCCAATTCTATGGTCAATTATACGTGTATCCCACAAAGCACACAGCTATCTTTTTATTTCACCAATCAATTTCCAGCCAATACAAGTATATTCAAGATGGCCCCCACTCACTGTCGCGGATGTTCTAAAAATAGTGTCGTGAAGGCCCTGAAAAAAATAGAAATAATGTTATTATCATATCTCATGTTTAGTGCCTAGTGAGACAGGCTCTTGACTATAGCATGTGCAGGATGGTGCATAACTCTCCAAACTCGAAAGTCATTACACGAAAGAAATGTCCCAGGCCCACGCTCTTGCTGCTGTCATCCCAACTAATTCTTCTCACCAGTCCTGCCGAAACTATCAACCATTACCCTTGTGAACAACCCACCAGTTACTTAACGCTAGCACAGCATCATTTTCTGTACCGTATGCGAATTTCTGTCTAAATAGGTCCCATTTTCAGCTCTATCATTAGGTCATACTAATCTTATGGCTGCTTGTAGTATTATCATTGTGGCACCGTAAGTGTCACAATCGATACGAGGTTTACTTGGAGGGCGCGAGCACATTGCTTGTTCTTCCAAATATGGCATTGTCTATATTTTGTATGTATGTATCGTCATGTACACTGCCAATGTGTGATGGAATATTGACCCACCCGGGCAATCATGTAGGCTAGGAGGGGGTGGTGGGGACTGTCACATATCGATGTTGAATATGTTCGTATGTATTAGTTATTCAGAAATGAAATGTCATATCCGTTCAATTCTCCTCCCTGGACCAATAATCCTGTCGATGGGAAGGGAGTAGCAGAGAGCAATTATCCCCACAATTCCTCAATACAATACACACGTGTGTGTTATTTTCAGAAAGTGCAAGGCAACATGAGGTTTTAATGCATTACAATGAGGGTGGCATGCTCCGGCCAAGTTTAAATTGATTATGCTATATTATCGTTACCGGTGTCGAACCAGGATGATGATGCTCTAATGAGTCGTGAAATTAAAAAATACCTTATTTAAACCATATTTAACTATGGTTACTGCATAAATGAATGACATTCAGTAGTTCGTGCTATAGATTTACTGCAACAGTGTTGAATGAAGGTGTGTAGTAGTCCCTGTTCGAGCGTCACACACGCAACAGCTGCAAACAGATCCTTACCAGAGTAATAATGTAGCTTACATATCATATAGAGCTGCACATGGCCCACTGACAGAGTCACGATACAACTTATATATCATAAAGATCTGCACATGACCTACTGGCAGAGTGACGATACAGCTTATATATCATATAGTGCCAAGCTGATCCCACTAGCAGAGTAACGATACAACTTATATATCTTACAGTGCCACACAGATCCCACCAGCAGAGTAACGATACAACTTATATATCATATAGTGCCACACAGATCCCACAAGCAGAGTGACGATGTAGCTTATATATCATACAGTGCCACACAGATCTCACTAGCAGAGTAACGATACAACTAAATACGAATCTTACAGTGCCACACAGATCTCACTAGCAGAGTAACGATACAACTTATATATCATATAGTGCCACACAGATCCCACAAGCAGAGTGACGATGTAGCTTATATATCATATAGTGCCACACAGATCTCACTAGCAGAGTAACGATACAACTTATATATCATATAGTGCCACACAGATCTCACCAGCAGAGTAACGATGTAGCTTATATATCATATAGTGCCACACAGATCTCACTAGCAGAGTGACGATACAACTTATATATCTTACACTGCCACACAGATCCCACCAGAAGAGTAACGATACAACTTATATATATTAAAGTGCCACACATATCTCACTAGAAGAGTAACGATACAACTTATATATCTTACAGTGCCACACATATCTCACTAGCAGAGTAACGATACAACTTATATATCTTACAGTGCCACACATATCTCACAAGCAGAATAACGATACAACTTATATATCTTACAGTGCCACACATATCCCACTAGCAGAGTAACGATAAAGCCTGCCCAACTTAATACTATATAGAGCTGCATAGACCTCGCTAACTTCTTGCCACGTCTTTGATCATCTCCATAGATACATGCATCGTATAACCCTGGTTATATGGCAGCTTAAAGAATCATGCACTGTGGAGTGGGATAAATAATTCATTACCTCTGTATCAGATATATCTTACATCTGGTTATGTAGGAGATGTTAACAATTATTCACTATTTAGTGCTTACGTATCTCATAACTTCATATCCATCTGTGTGAAACACATTGTGCAGTCAAATGTTTTTATTATAAACTATTCGTGCGAATTTTGCTTTTCGACTGAGCTTGTCATGTTTTGCTTGATATTTCCGCGAACGTGAACACCATAGGTGAAAGTACAGGTGTGTGTTTTTGACTTCAGCACTTTAGGGACAAATTGAGTCGCCAAATGCCAACCATCTTTATTTATTAGGAAAATTAAATAAGATGACATTTCATAATGAGTTGCAGAATACCGCCTACATCTCAAACACTAAGCCAGACGGACCATGGTTAATTAATCGAGTTAACCGTAGTTCGCAACAAACGGAGTGCCACTATAGGGCAATAGTGCAAATATCCTCACGAGATCATGAGGTCGGACAGTTTCAACTGGTTTATATAGTTAAAGGAGTTCGAGTTAACAAGGTTCCTTTGTATATACACTTGTATGACACACTGTACACATTATGTTACATCTTAAGGAGGAAAGCTTTTGTTAATCAATGGTAGCTGTCAACAACAGATGTTACGCTTAGTGGGTTAAGTAAACTGTAGCCAACCAAATTCAACATGGATGTCACATGACATTCACTGTATTCACACATCAAATCATAGCCGATATTTGCAACTAGAAATTGATATACATTATAACCTCTCTTATTGACTCAGTTTAAAACTATTATATCAAGAGAGTTATACATAGTCAGATAGACGTTTTTCTTCTAATTTTATAAAATGTACGATATATGTTCAAATGGACTAACTGTGATTATTTCGATTCAATGCCATCACGATTCTGGCAAAAATGCGATAAAGCAAATATCAAGCTCTGACAGCTTTAAGGGGTATATTCAATGGAAGTATGATGTATAATCCAGGGATTATACTACCTAATTTCACTTGTACCTTCTCATATATGGGGGGCACGGGTGGCCCAGTCGTCTAAGGCTCCGCGATTCGCTGTGCAGAGTTGCGTCCCTTGGGCACGCCAGAAACCTATGATTGTGGGTTCGAATCCCGGTTCCCCCCTATTATGTTTCTAGGTTTGTCAGCACCATACCCGTGCTCTTGGGTTTCACCGAAATTGTAAACGTCTGAGACCTGCGTCACTTCGGGCTTTCCTCCCACATTAAGCTGACACGCCGTGATATAACTGGAATACTGTAAAAAGCGGTGTTAAACCCAACTCACTCACTCACTCTCATATATATGACCCAGTTACATATTTTACCTTAGTGTACACAGTACCCTAATATACATCGTATCTTATTATACTTACATTATACTTTTATATTATACACACTACCTTATTCATATAACCTTTTTGTACAGTTGTACCTTACTGTAATACTACCTGTAGCATATATACAAATGTATCGCACCTAGGTGATATATGATTAATACATAACCCTTGAATGCTCTTCAATGCTGGAGCGGTTCTTGTCCTACAACCTTGTTTTGAGCAGCGCTCTACAGAGATGTTAGGGAGTGTATTAAGTACACCCTCCACACTGGAGTAGCTGTGTTTATTAACCACATGTTGCCAAATGTCGCAAAATGAGCAAAGCCAATCAATACTTTCATTGTTTCCATTTAGGTGCTCCTATGCCAAGACCATTACGCTGAATCCTATAGCCCATATTTTCAATCGAGTTATTTCACGTGCCTCGTTATGTGACTATTTGGCAGTATACTAGTCGTGGGTTATACCAAACTAAGCACATTGTAGTGATGTTAAGTGCCCCCTACCACAAAGTGATCTCAGTGCTGTCTGTCGTAAGTCTATGTTATGTATTGTAGTTACGATCGTCTTAGCCTAAGATCGCTTTGTGGAATTGGGCCTGAATTGTAATGGCCTGAGGTGTTGACGATACCGAGTAGAGTTAACTTTTGATATATTTCCTTATGGTTGGGTGTTATAGAAATATGTAGTTATGTTATCAGATCTTATGTTAATAGGTATTCATGATATGTGACTTGTGTATGTAGGTATTCATATGTTACTCATATATGTAGGTATTCATGATATGTAACATGTGTATGTAGGTATTCATGATGTTTTACTCATGTATGTAGGTATTCATGATTTTTTACTCATGTATGTAGATGTTCATGATATGTTACACATGTATGTACGTAATCATGATATGTTACACATGTATGTAGGTGTTCATGATATGTTACACATGTATGTAGGTAATCATGATATGTTACACATGTATGTAGGTAATCATGATATGTTACACATGTATGTAGGTAAAAATGATATGTTACACATGTATGTAGGTAATCATGATATGTTACACATGTATGTAGGTGTTCATGATATGTTACACATGTATGTAGGTAATCATGATATGTTACACATGGATGTAGGTGTTCATGATATGTTACACATGTATGTAGTGTTCATGATATGTTACACATGTATGTAGGTGTTCATTATATGTTACACATGTATGTAGGTGTTCATGATATGTTACACATGTATGTAGGTAATCATGATATGTTACACACGTATGTAGGTGTTCATGATATGTTACACATGTATGTAGTGTTCATGATATGTTACACATGTATGTAGGTGTTCATGATATGTTACAC